ATTTATGTTCTTTATTAGAGAGAATGAACTCTTGTCTATTCTAACTATTCTTAAATATGTTTATTTTGTTACATTAATTCCCTTAAGCAATGCTAATACGACTTAACTATTAAATATTAAAGCAAAAGATTCTCTTATGAAATCATGCTCAAATTCTGGTATTCCCAGGCCAAAAGCTTTAGTAAATGATTACTCAGTTATTGAAACTGTAACTCATATTGTGTGACAAAAGACAATTGGTTGGATTCACATTTTTATTCATCATTCATTTAACTTATAAACTCCTAGAAGTGTCAAATCAATGGAAATTTTTGGCAACTTAGTCACAAACATGACTTAACTTGAGGAAGGCTACCTGGAATAAAATTTCTATTACTGATTTATTACTTTGTGACCATTAAGAATCTTGCTACATTAGTTGAATTTGAGAAATGCTGAATGTTTAAATTTTCTGACATTAACAGTTGACTCACTGGTAGCTGACAAGTTCTACCCATTATGCAACTGTAATTTGGGCTGTTATAAAGAATCTTTTATCTTTGCTTGAATTAAGGAAAAAATATGTTGACCTGTTTAAAGAAACATTCCCTGTGATAAATAAAAAAAAATAAGTAAACATTCCCTATCATATAGTAGATAATATTTTTCTTTAATGTGCCTTGCATTTCCTATTCCTTTTCTTGGTTAAAGAGATTAGTGATAACCCTTTCATAAAATATTTACATTTAAATAAAGGATTATAGAAGGAAAAAAAAAACAACTTCAATATTAGCAATAAATTTAACTGATAATACACAAAGAAAATGCTTTAATAGTAAAACTTTAGATCTTACATTATAAGTAGTAGGCAAACACTTTTATTTTTAAGGTTTTAAACTTGGGCACATGTGTTCATGGGAGAAAGAGAGAGAAAGAGACAGGGAGAGGGAAAGTTCAAAATCATCTCCCTGAGTGGATGGCCATACCATAATTCCTTCTCCATTCTCCTGGGATTTTGAGCATGGATGAACACACACACAGTATGATTTTCTAGTCACTTGGTCTGGGACTCAAACCATCGTTGGCCATGTGGAACTCCAGTGCCTTAACCATGCCACCTGCCAACAGGCAAACTTTTTAAAAAAGAATAATTTTCAGGGACAGCAGGTGGCGTGGTGGTTAAGGTGCTGGATTCCCACATGACCAGCCACACTTTGAATCCCAGACCCAGAGCACTGAAAATCACACCAGCGGTGTGCATGTGTGTGTGTGTGTGTGTGTGTGTGTGTGTGTGTGTGTGTATTCCTGAAATCTCAAGAAGAGAATGCAAAAGGGATTGTGGCAAGGCCATCCTCCCACGCTGGGGGATGATTTCTCACTTTCCCTCTCTCTGACTCTCTGGTGAGCACATATACCCCATGGAAAAAAAAAAAAAAAAAAAAAAAAAAAACTAAAAAAATAGAGAAGTAAACATTTTCTTGGGACCAGCAGTTAGCGTAATGGCTATGTCGCTGGACTCCCACGTAGTCAACTGTGGTTCGAGTCCCGGACCCAGTGGCTTAAACTCACACCAGACGCGTGGGTGTGCGTGCCCAGGATCCCAAGAGGAGAATGGAGGAGAAGGGATTGCGGCGTGGCCATCCCCCCCGGGGGATGATTTCTCATTTTCTGTCTCTCTGTCTCTCTCTGTCTGTCTGGCGAGCACACGTGCCCTATAGCAAAAACCTCTCCAAAAAAAAAAAAGTAAACATTTTCTTGACTGTCCTCCAATAAAATATTTTCAGCTTCTCAACCCTTATGGCTATTGCGAGTTGCTAGAATAATCATTTAGGAGGGTTTATCTAAATAGCATATGATTTAGAATTCCTCCACCATGAGTTTTTTTTTTTTTTCCTCACCTAGCATAGGTGAAAATCTTTCATTCTGTGTGTATGTGTGTGTGTGTTAATTTTATGATATTTTTAAGGGGTCCCTTATGGCAAATAGGACACTTGCACTTGCTGGAGTGAAACAGAGAGAGGGAAAGTGAGAAATCAGTTCCCAGGAGGAATGGTCACACTACAGTCTCTTATCTTCCATTTTCCTCTTGGAATTTTATACATTCACACACATATACCTTGTATGAGTTTCAGGCTACAGGTCTAGGACTTGAACAGGGGTCAGCCATGTGAGAATCCAGTGCCTTAACTACCATGCCAACTGTTGGTCCCAATTAAAAAATTTTTCTTTAAAAAAAAAAAATCCTTCATATACTGTAAAAGTGTGATCCTAGCATAAGGCACAGACTCAAAGGCAACTTTGGTTGGTTAAGGTCCTGACACGCTCATTGGCTAAGAAATAAATACCTTGGGTGGCGTCAGGGATTATGTTGGCAATTCACATCCACATGAACCAGAAAAGCTTAGGAATAGGATTGTGTCAAAATGAGGCTATTCTGTTTGGATCCAAGAGATCAGCTATACCCAGCAGTTCAAAGCCAGTCATCAAGAAAGTCTTAGAAGCTGCAGTGTGATGAAGTTCAAGCATGCTTCCCGACATAGAGGCTTCTCTGCAGTAGGCAGGGGTGGGGTACTGGGCAGTCTGTATCAAAATGTTTGATTACCAAGATCTAACCATTGTCAAGGTTGGGGGTGGGGGGAGGGATGCTGTTCTGACTGCAAGAGAAGGGGTCCCTGAAGGATAAGAGGAAGCAAGCTAGGACCACAACTCTAGAGGAATGGACTAGTCAGGAAGGAACTAAACATGGTACTTGTACCTAAAGTTTGAAGGTAAGCCCAAGCCCGCTAGTCTGCAACCACAGAATGCAGCCAGAAGTAAATACTTTTGGTTCCCATACCTCAGGACAATACCTATTCTAATGCCTAATATTTTAATCAATGCTCCTTCAAGAAACATTATTTAAGCACCTACTAAGAGCCAAGTTAGAAGCCAGGAATGCACTAATAAGTAAATTAATTTCTTATTTACCACTCTTCTAAAATAGTGTAAGATACAGTCAGGAATATAGACAATTACAATAAAGGGTGATTTGAGCACCAACTACAGAAATCATATACCTGCATTATTAATGGTGGCATGAGTCAACATTTGTTGAAATTTAATGCAATTGGACAGATCAGAAAGACTTCTCAAAGGGTCTAAAGTCTAAGCTAAGATCTGAAAAAGGTTGGGCTTAGCGATGCTGCCAATTCATGATTGTTGAATAAGCAGAAAGTGCTGTTTCCTGACCAGTGAATTACTAAGAGATGCTGTGTCATCTGCAGAACTACCCAGTCCCAGGGCACATGGCCTGGCAACCTGCATAGGGACTTCTTACCTCCTTGGCTGCACAGAGAACAATTTATGGCCCAAGCTGTATTTATCTAAGTGAAGAATATTTACAGTCGGGGGTAGAGCATAGGAAAGAAGGATTTCCAGGGTCCTTACAGGGTATGGTTCATAAAAACTGGAACACAGAAGAAAACCGGCCTCACTTGAGTGAAATGTTTCCAGAATTATCTTCTTTGACTCTGGCAGCAGAACTCCTAGGATGCAGAGCACATATTTCATTAAGCATTTTCAAAACGAAAATTCGACCTACTAAACTTGAGTTTCCTTGAGTGACTCTATTTGTCATTTTACCCATTAAGTTTGTATAACATGATTTCACAATAGCAAATCAAAGTAAGGCTGGTAATGTTGTACACAATTACAATAGAAGTAGAATGGCTTAATTAGTAAAAAATTAACTGGCATGATTCCTATAAGTTAAAGCGTACATATTTAAGGAGGCTTATTGTAACATTTATACCATTTATTTTATAATATACTAATTCGAATGTAAAAGTGAATGTAAATTACCAGAAATTAACATGCAATGTGAAGAAAAGTCCTTTTATCTTCTGCAACTGTAGCATTTGGCAGATTCAGGAATAAATAATCTTTTGTGGCAAGGGTATGCCTTATCAAACATATGCAGATCAGCACTAATTAATGCTAATTAAGGTTTCCTGTCTATCTAGTTGGAAAAACGTCCAAATGTTATGAAATCCAGTTAGTATGCCTATTACGCTAATTGTTTTATATGGGGTGGTTCTTAATTAAAATATGTAAATTGACCTTAATTGCTATATACTAATGGGGGTTCATGTTATCTCACTAAAAGTGACAAGATGGTGAGGAGGGGTACTTAAATGACTAATTCTGATAAATCCTTAACTAAATGACCTTTACTCAAAATTAATTTTAATTGGAAGTTGGCAAAAGAAACATTTTCTTTCTTTGTTTCTTTTTAGTTTTAAGTAATGGAAGAATGTTTCTATTCTTTGTTAATACAGTTTAAGACACAATTGTGGATTGTTAATTACACTTAACAAGCAAGTTAATTTTACTGTTTACTGTTTATAGTTATCAGGAATTTATTGATATCCTAATTTCAGTCTTAGGAAAAGGGACTTCTCATTGAATAGGAATATATAGCTACAATCCTATAGATAATTTGTTTCAGTGTCTTAGGACATGGGTTAACATTTGATGAGTTAGTAATAGTAATGTATATTACTTGACTGAGTTACACTGGAATTACTTTTTAGGGAATTTTTTTTTTTTCTTTATTAACATCACCTCTTACTGGAGTTAAACTATGATTGGGAATATTTAGATTAGATAAATTGATTAAATAGATTAAAATGATATTTTTACATTTTATCTATCATATTTTTATGTATTATTTAATTGTAAACAAATTAAAATGTATATGCCCAAGAGCAGTGCTAATGAATTTAAATATTTTGATTTTGTCTCTGTCAAAACCTAGCATTACAGGAAGCAATTTAGCTAAAGCTGTTGTAAAAAATATTTTGTTTTACACTTTCATTTGGAAGTGGTTTATATTCAACTATAATTTAAAGTATATTAAAAATTCTTCTATAAAAATGTGAGACAGGACTTGGTAAAATATTGTCATATGGAAATGAGCATATAATAAAGATCATAGGTTTTCTTTGTCAAAAGGAGATCCAATATCTTTATTGTTTTATCAGGACATTGTGACAAATGTTTCACCCAGAATCATCCGGGGGACCACCTCTGGCCCTGTGTATGGCCCTGGACAAAGCTCCTTCCTGAATATTGAGCTCATCAGCGAGAAAACGGCTGCATATTGGTGTCAAAGTGTCACTGAACTAAAGGCTGACTTCCCAGACAACGTAAGTGTGATTTAACATCTAAAACAAGAGAATTGGCATAAGTTGGTGAATGTTTATTTAAACATCCAATTCGTAGGCTTATAAATATTAATGTGTATAATATATTTTATTAAAGAATCTTCCCGTTGGTTTGCTGATGCATAAAAAGATAAAAAAGAAAGAAAAGCTCAAGACTCATAAAACCCGCGCAATGTGAGGCTTTGTTATAAACGGGTGCCATGTAGCTGGAAGAAGTATCTACATAAACAGAAGGCAGAGAAATGAAATACTCATTTTATTGAGTTGGTTTTCACTGTATGTGGCTAGTATTTATGAAGGTGACGACCTCAGGAAGAAATTGCAGGCTATAAATAATTTTCAATAGAAACCTGAGGCAGAAGCAGAATATCTTCTTATTCAGTGTATTTATATTTTTTTAGTGGGAAATAATTTGCCAGATAATTTTAACATTCTTATACTACATGAGCCAATAATCTTTTGTAATTTTTTTTCTTTTAAAGAACCATGCACAAATATTGAAGTAATATCAGACTTAAAATAATAGATCTTATTATATCTTCAGAAGTCCAGTTCGAGTTATCCTTAATGTCATTCATTCATCTTCCGCCTCCTCCCCCATCTCCTTACATGTGCGTGCACACGTACACACACGTTCTCTCTCTCTCTCTTATTCTTTCTTTCAATGAGCTGATAGTGAGTGGAGTTTGAGGTTTGGGGCAATGTGCATGTTTATGTTGTAGAAAAGATTTTTTCACACACATCCTTCAAAGATGAAAGGAGCTCTTGAAGTATCTAGTGATAAGATTTTAAAAATCTAGTGAAATTCATGGATGTTTGTCTACAAACTGATAAATCATAAAATCTTATAAAGGAACATATCTAACACACCATTACCTAGCCCATAGATTATTTTTATTTGTTTTAGACAGCCCTAATCATTTTGGTATCGTTTATTTCCTTAAAATATAACAAATATAATTTATCTTCTTCAAGACTATCCTATAAATGTGAAGGGAACTATTAGACCCAACTGAAATCTATAGCTTCTGCAGGAATATTTTTACTTTTAGAACTTCATATTACAGTTATCTCTATTTTCACATTATACAATTAAATCTACATAGCAGTTAGGCTGAACTATTTGTTTTTTTTGTTTTGTTTTGGTTTTGGGTTTTTTTTTTTTTTTTTTTTTTTTTTTTTTTTTTTTTTATGCCATAGGGTGTGTGCATTCACTGAAGAGAGACAGCAAGAGGGAAAATGAGAAATCACCTCTCCCCCACCAGTGGGGACCTCCATGCCATAATCCCTTCTGCATTCTCCTCTAAGATTTTGGGCATGCATGCATATGTGCCCAACATGATTTTCAAGCCATCAGGTCTGGAACTTGAGCTGTGGTCAGCCATGTGGGAGTCCAGCACCTTAACCACCATGCCACTGGCTGGTCTCAATTAGCTCTAGTATTTGAGGTGTAGTATTTTTAGCTCTAGTATTTAAGGTGCAGTATTCATTAGCTCTAGTATTTAAGGTATAGTCTTTTTCTTCCTTCTGTGCATTGGCTGGAAGGCCAAACCCTTATAACCTTATATTAACAAAACAAAAGGAATACAGAATAGAGATGCTCAGATGGGTCTTTCATGGGTTATGTGCCCACAATGGACCAACCATCGCAATAGGATAATGAGTATTTTCTTTGGCCATCATGGGGAGAGTGGATGGAAAATTGGTGAAGAAGCATCAGGATCTACAGCTGTGCTATTTTGTTTTTTTTTTTTTTTTTTTTTTTTTTTTTTTTTTTTTTTTTTTAGGGTTTTGCCATAGAGTGCTCACTGGAAAGAGACAAAGACAGTGAGAAGTCACCCCAAAGGATGATTTCTTTCCCATATCTTTTTGGGAAGCTTTCTAAGAATGAAAGTCAAATGTTAAAAGAAATAATCTAAGTTTAATTTGGCCTATGGTATTAAAAATTATGCAAGTTCTGACCTTGCACTATAATAATTAATAAAGTGTAGCACTTAAATGTAGCAACCTCATTGTTAGGCACTGTCATAAAAATTTTATTTATTCTAAATTCATCTGATCTTTCAGCAGCTTGAAAAGTACTATTATTTTCTTCATTTCACAGATGAGGAAACTGACACATAGTTTAAGTAATTTTCCCAAGGTTATTCACTTACTATATGAAGCTTGGATTTGAACTTGAAATTTGCTTTTAACATCCATGCTTCTGCTCAACAATGGTGTTTTCTAATGCCCCTGCCTATGTTGTCCTTAAATATTTAATATTATTTTTTAATACAACTTAAGGGTAGTATGAAGTATAATTTTCCAAATGTTTCTTCAATAGTATTTAGATAAGCCAATGTGTCTAAAAAAATTTGTTTTCCGGAAAAGTAACTCCCACCGATGGCTTGTCTTAATTTCACTTTCTCCCTGTCCTCTCTTGAGCAGGAGTAAGATGTAATAATAATAATAAGGGCCACCAAGAAATGACAGCAAGTGAACAAGAAAGCTGAGATGAAACTTTTGCTTTGTGATTCCATGTTGGAGTAGAAAGAAGACACATTTAAATGCTCCTTTCAATACCTTGACAACAATTTTCTTCTCTCGTAATGCTTTCTTCTGAGAAAACAATGTGTGCTTTTCTTGTTTCTAATTCTTTCCCCATTTAAATTAGCCTCATTATTCCTTTTCTCTATTCTTAGAACTTATTTCTAACATTTTAGCTCTCCATATCAAAGATAACATTTTAAATACAATTGAAATGGCACTCCCATTTGAACCTATAAAAGTAATGTGTGTGCACCTAGATATTGCCATGCTGAGAGTAGAATATCCCCAACTGTTTTGGAATTATTTTGACGCCAAAACCAATGAGCTGAATGAAAGAAGGTGACCCTTCATTTTCCAAGTTTAATTATCACTCTCACTGGAGTTTTCCCACATCATTCTCAAGTGCATTGCTGCCACCTTTAATGACAGGGATTGATAATTCAACCCACTATGGCAGCTTCTTAGCAAGGGCCAACTTTTCTGAAAGAGAAATTGTGCTAGAGGGGCATCTAGGTCAGCTAATATCAGTAGCTAGTGTCTCCGTTTCCAGAGTGGACAGGCATCATTTGATTGAATCACAGGAATAGCTGAAGAACTTTTTGATTATAAAGGCAGTAATTCACTCAGGAATATATAGTTTTTAACTATCATTGAGTTCTACCAAAACTTACACTCCTACTAGACTTTTCATTGGCTTTCTAGTTTTCCTTTTATTTATCTGTGAATTAAATTTGGCACACTGATTATTGTAGTGACAACTTATAACTATGAGGTTTTTCTCCTAAGCTGCGTTTTTGCAAATCTTATTAGGAAATGTACTGTGTGATTAGAGTTTACAGAAATCAATTTTAAGTGAATACTTTCCCTCTCACTGCAGAAGCTTTATAAATCATATATTTTAAGAGTGGGAGTTTTTTAACCGGAAACTGTGCTGTGCATTGCTGAATTAGCAAGCAAGACTACCATTCGCTATAATTTGGGGCAGCTGAAGTAAAAGTTAGGCTAAATGAATCAACTGGTGAAAATAGGAAAGTATATGATGGTTTCCTTAGAAAAACTAATAAAAGAATGGTTGATATGTATATATTCATCTATTAAAATATTCCTGATTAATGTAAAACCTGTTTCTCAGTTAATTACTGAGAAATCAGCACTATACACAGTAACACCAGGTGGATGAGCTTTGTCAGCATTCCTGAAGGCTCTTTAATGACTAGCAGTCTCTAAATACAGAGTTCCTAACCTTTCATGTGTGCCATGCACTCTGGTGAAGCCTAGGAGCGCTTTCCAGAAAAAAAAAAAAAAAGTTTTTGAAAGCATACACACAGTTCATAAGATTACATAGGATCCCTTTGATATTAAAATAAAATTCTCAAAATATTTTTTAAAATACATGATATATCTTAATCTTTATGAAGGCCTTAAATAATAATCTAATAGTGAGTTTACACACTACTACAATTTATTTTTTTGAGAGAGAGATTTTTTCTATAGGACGTGTGCACTTGCTGGATAGAGAGAGACAGAAAATGAGAAATCACCTCCCAGCAGGGTGGCCGTGCCGCAGTTCCATCTTCTCCATTCTCATCTTGAGATTTTGGGCACACACACACATGCACCCAGAGTGAGTTTTGAGACACCAGGTCCAGAACTCGAATCGTGGACATCTACGTGGGAGTCTAGCTACATAATCATTACACCATCGGCTGGTGCCACTAACTACTCCAATTTTGATTTACTGGTGAGGGTGAGTATTTAAGATGCCTGCAGCAACTTTACTCTGATTTTCTGTGATTTTTGTGATTGCAAAGTCATGGGTATCAACAGTGCTACTATGATTTCTTTTACCCGTGATTGAGACAGGCCAAATTTCAGTGGAAGGTTAGTAAAAATAAAAGTCTAAATGTTTTCTCATCCAAGTTTATAACTTTTCTTCATTCTATCAAGGGTTCTATGGACCACAGGTTAAGAACCTGTGTCTAGTACTCTCAGCTCTATTTGGATATTAGAATCCCCTGAGGAGTGGGATCAGCAGATAGCTTAATGGTTAAGTTGCTGGACTCCCACATAGCTGACCATGGTCTGAGTCCTAGACCTGGTAGCTTAAAATTCATACCAGACACATGGGCGTGTGTGCCAAAAATCCTGAGAGGAGAATGGAGGACAAGGGATTGTGGCATGCCATCCCCACTGCTCCCCCCCCAGGGGGGGGATTTCTCACTTTTTGTTTCTCTGTCTCTCTCTAGCAAGTGCATGTGCCGTATTAAAAAAAAAAAATCCCTAAAAAAAAAAATTCCCTGAAGAGTTTTTTAAAAAGGGAGTGGGGCCAGCAGTTGGCATAATGGCTATGTTGCTGCCATGTAGTCGACCACAGTTTGAGTCCCAGACATGGTGACTTAAACTCACGCTGGGTGCATGTATGTGCGTGCCCAAGATCCCGAGAGGAAAAT